GCCAGGAGGCGGGGCGCGTCTGAGGACCGGGTGCTGGGACCCGCGGGGCTCTCCCCTGGCCGCCCGCTCCCGGCTCGCCTCCTTACCCTCGGCCCGGAGCTGCGACTCTGAGGCGGCGGTAATTCCCGGGCCCGGGGCCCGGAGCTCAGAGGGCAGTCTTTCCTGTTTGCCTGCACAGCGAGGGGCCCCGCAGCCTCCCCTGCCTGCGGCCTGGCTTCCTGCTCCGGAGAGCCAGTCTTCCCAGCCCCCTCCCACAGCCAGGGCCTCTTTCCCCTCCTCCCTCCCATCTCCAGCCGCCAGGTCCCCAACCGCCCGCCAGGCTTGGGCCTGAGTGGCAGAGGCGCCTGCAGCTGCCAATCCCCAAAATATTCTCTGATGACACAGCTGGAGGACAAGAGCCCAGACTGGCTCCCCAGTCTAAGTATAGAGCAGGCGGGACCACCTGCCCCCAACCCCTAGCCCCAGTTCTAGCCCCCTCCCCAGCCATTCCCCTCCATGACTGGCCCAGCAGCTGCTTGGCTGAAAGGGGCCCCAGAAGGTCTGAGGGGTTGCCGCATTCTCTCTGACAAATAACACTTTTAGGAGCTGGCAGACCCCAGCCTCCAGGCTCCTGTCCCACCTGGTGTCACCTGTGCTGGGTGCTGGGTTGTGACTGTGTGTGTGTGTGTGTGTGTGTAGGGGGAAGGGGTTGTATGTGTGGGTCGGGTCACTTGGGGTGAAACCCTCGCTAGCCCTCTCCCCCACATTCCTGGCGGGAGTGGGAGATAAGGCTCAGGGCCACAGACATCTGCGTCAGAGATAGGAGGTCTCAATGCCATGGGCAGGGGCAACTTGGACTGCAGGGCGTGGGAAGGACTGGGGAAGACTGGGGTGAGAAGGGTAGAAGAGGGCAGGTGGTGGGATGGGGAGGGGAGAGTGGGGAGGCCCAGGGCAGACCCTGACAGAAGGGAAACAGGGCAGAGTGTGGTTTCACCGCTGGCAGGGCCAGGCAAGCTATGTGGCCTCAGCTGCTCCTCTTACTGCTGGCCCCACGGGGTGGGCATGGCTGCCAAGGGCCAGAGCTGGACAGGGAAATTGTCCTGGCCAAGGTGAGGGCCCTGTTCCTCGATGCCTTGGGACCCCCAGCGGTGACTGGGGAAGGTGGGGATTCTGGAGTCAGGCGCCTGCCCCGAAGACACGCTGTGGGGGGCTTCAAGCACAGGGGCTCTGAGCCCGAGGAGGAGGATGTCTCCCAGGCCATCCTTTTCCCGGCTACAGGTAATGGGGGTGGGGAACTGGCATCTCAACTTTGAGAAACAGTGTGGTATAGCTTGGGCTTGGGAACCGGGCAGGTCAGGATTTGAATCCCAGACCTGCCACTTAACTGGCTTTGCAGCAATGGGCCAGTTACTAAACCTCCCTGAGCCTCTGTCTCCTCATCTGTAAAATGGACATAATGCCTGCTTCTCAGAATTAAGTGAGATGGTGTATCTAGAGTGTATGGCTCATAGGAGGCATTTGGGAGATAGTGGTCTAGGGGCCCAAGGGTCTCTAGGGACAGAGGTATCTGGGCATGGGCTCTTTCCTGCCACCTTTCCTCCTGTCTTTGCTTTTACTTCCTGCTCCAAACATTGTTTCTTTAGCCCAAAGTAGTTGAGACTTGGGAAGATATCAGGGATGCAGGAGAAAGATTAGTTGGGAAACTTCAAAACTAGTCTGTCTTCTCATGAGTTCCCTTCTCACCTCCCCATGTTCCATTGATTTAATGAGTAAAGCCCTCCTCTGGCTGGACTTTCTTGTAATCTGGCCCCCTTTTCTCTCAGAAAGGATCCCTCACCTCCCTGTGCTTTGTCCCTATGCAGTATAGTGAGTAAAAGTGTGGCTTTGGGATCAGGCAGAATCCCAGCCTGGCCACTTAATAGTTAAATGGCACTTCATCTTTCTAACCCTCAGTTTTCTTATCTGCAAAATGGATCATCTTTGGTGAGGTTTATAATGAGATAATCCATGTAACGGTACAGCCCTAATTGCTCAACTTGTACTGCTTCATGATTGTCTGGTGCCATCTATGTAACTGTCAGGGTAAGGATGCCACCTGCACTTTCTTAGAATGCACACTCCTTTTTTCTGAGCTACATCCTTTCTCCTCCTTTTCCTCTTTCTTGGTGTTAACCTGTCTTTTTAAAGTGGAATTATTTTAAGGAATTTCTTATGCAATTTTTCTGGCATCTAAAAAGCTATAAAGAGTAATATAACAAATGCCTGTGTATACACCATTCAGGGTACCATTTCACAGTATCAGATGAACAGAAATTAAATCTAACTAACAATTCTAGGTGTTGGTGAAGGAAGAGAGTGCAAGGCCTCTTACACACCGCTGATGGGAATATTAATTGGCAAAGCCACTTCAGGGAGAAGTTGGCAATGTCTGGTATTTTTAAAGTCCTTTAATGAAGAAGTAACAAAAGGGGAGCCTCTGTCAATTCTCCCTAGATGGGAGGAGTCTCAGTAGAGTGGCAGGCTCGTGGAGAGCAGCTGTATCCTTCCTGCTGAGGAGGAGGGGTCCTGGGTTCTGCCAGTCAGGGCTGTCCTCTGCCTTCCCTCTACCTCCTGCAGGTGCCAGCTGTGGGGATGAGCCAGCTGCTGGAAAGCTGGCCCAGGAGGCCGAGGAGGGCCTCTTCACATATGTGTTCCGGCCATCTCAGCACACACGCAACCGCCAGGTGACTTCGGCCCAGCTGTGGTTCCACACAGGACTGGACAGGCAGGAGACAGCAGCTGCCAATAGCTCTGGGCCCTTGCTAGGTCTGCTGGCACTGTCATCCGGGGGCCCTGTGGCTGTGCCCATGTCGCTGGGCCAGGCACCTTCTCGCTGGGCTGTGCTGCACCTGGCCGCCTCTGCCTTCCCTCTGCTGACCCACCCTGTCCTGGTGCTACTGCTTCATTGTCCTCTCTGTTCCTGCTCGGCCCGGCCTGAGGCCACCCCCTTCCTGGTGGCACACACACGGGCCAGGCCACCCAGTGGAGGGGAGAGAGCCCGACGCTCCACTTCCCCGCTGCCTTGGCCTTGGTCTCCTGCTGCACTGCGCCTGCTACAGAGGCCTCCAGAGGAACCCGCCGCCCTTGCCGACTGCCACAGAGCGGCCCTCAACATCTCCTTCCAGGAGCTGGGCTGGGACCGGTGGATCGTGCACCCTCCCAGTTTCATCTTCCACTATTGTCACGGGGGCTGTGGGCTGCCCACCCTGCCAGACCTGCCCCTGCCAGTCCCCGGGACTCCTCCTACCCCTGTCCAGCCCCTCTCTTTGGTGCCAGGAGCCCAGCCCTGTTGTGCTGCTCTCCCGGGGACCATGAGGCCCCTAAGTGTCCGCACCACCTCAGATGGAGGTTACTCTTTCAAGTATGAGACGGTGCCCAACCTTCTCACGCAGCACTGTGCTTGCATCTAAGGGAGTCCAGAGGGTGGCCAAGCCCCCACCATCACCAGCCTGGAAGAAGGGCAGAGTTCAGAAAATAGATGGTTCCCACCTCCCCTCTCCTTCTGCCTGGAGGCTCCCCTCCCCACCCCATCCCACAGGTGACATGACAATAAACAACATGGTGCATACAACTTGGTGTGCATCCTCAGGCTTCTCTTATATGGTGTGTATGTGGGAGATCTGGGCCCTGGGGAACATGGGGTAGTGGGATCTCAGGTCACTCAGCCTCACTTGACCTCGGAAATCTGGGGTTCACGAGCTGTAACTGGATGTGTATCTGCTGGGAAGCTACAACAGCTGGGGATGATGAAAATGTGCTCGAAGCTCCGGGCTGCCTCTCTGGAGACTGAATTGGCTCTCATACAAGCCGGACCTGATATGTCAATTGGGTTGCCTGTCCTGCCACACCTCACAGTGCCTACATCTAAGTGGGCATAACCCCCTCCCCTGCCACAATCTGCCCTAGCTGATGGACACCTAGCTCCAGGTCAGGTGATTCATAGACTGGCCAGAGATCATGGCTTTGAGGGTCCCACTGAAACAGATGTTCAGAGCTGGTCAGGAATTTGAGTGGGGAGTAAGGGAAAGATGTATGAGTTGTCAGCCTCTGAAAGTCGACAAAGGGAGAGAGACAAAAGAATGAAGATGTGAGGATTTCAATTTGCTGAGGATCCTGGGACACCTTCAAATCTCTCATTAGCTCTTGATGTAGATTCCAAGAGGACAGGCTGTACTGGGATTCGGGTTCTTGAAATCTTTGGCTCTCTCAGTGTGCCATGTGTAACCCCTTAACTCAGACCTTAATGTCAGAGGGTGGAAAGGCAGAACCTACTGTCAGAAAAACATTTGCTCTTGTGTGAACTTATGCCCGCACTGAGAGTCCACAGCCGGATGCAAAGAGTCCTTTTCTTCCAGTCCCGCCTTGATTGGTCCCCCGCTTCCCTGGCATTCCTGTCTGCTTTCTTCACTCTCCTCCTTCTCCCCTTGGTTTTATTATCCTCCTACCCTGCCCCAGGGTCCTGGCTTTCAGCCAGTAAGTTTCATCCAGGCTCCTTCTAAGGAGTGTGTGTGTGTGTGTGTGTGTGTGTGTGTGTGTGTAGAGGGGAAGGGTTGGGATGTTCAGGTCCCTCAGACTGAAACTCTAAGCACTTTCTGATACTGAAGTGTGTATTTATATGCTAATGCAAGACTCCCCTCAATTAACCTAGATAGATGTATGGGGTATGAGGTGTGCTGGTAAGTGCCTGCCCTAGGAAGGTGGTGTGGAGGGGAGAGAACCCACCCTGTCACCCCTAGGCTAACACCTTCTCCCTGTGTGAGCTGAGCTGAATGAGCTATTGTTCCTTACAGCACTAGAGCCCCCAGAGCAGCCCATTCCACACTCTGGTGCTCCCCCAGTCTCTGCTGATGCTGAATTCCCCCAGGAGGCTCTGCCACTGTTCTGGAGGGGGGAATATGCCTGTTCATGGGCTTAAGTCTCTCCCAGCACCTTCACCTAGACCCAGCATTACAACCAGTCTGCTCAGGCCCCTGGGCTCCCAACTCAGGCAGGGGACTGGGGAGAGGGCTGGTTGGGAATGAGAGATTATCCCCAAGCTCGACTGAGCACCACTCTCTGCCTGTCTGGCTTCCTTCACCAGATACCCCCTCCCTTGAGCGAGGCCTGTCTCCAAGATCTTCAATCCTCCTACTAGGCTAGGGTGCTCCATCTTCCTGCTGGGGCTGCCTATGACCCTGTGAGGTCCAGACTTTTCCCTGTCCTGGGGATGTGGATAAGACCTGAGGGCTGGGGACACTCTACTGAGGGGCACAGTGTTCTCCACTAAGCCAGTTAGCCGACTGGTGTTGCTAGGGAAATGTCTTCCCCTATCTGAGACAGAGTGGGAGAAGTGAGTACAGCATAGCAATTTTCCCAAAGCCAAAGGTATTCTTTCTAAAGGGCTGCTCTTTATTCTAAAGTTACCCTTCCTCTCTCTTTGTCTCTTTCTGTGTGTGAAAGTGTTATTCTTTTTATGATATTATGGTGATGGTAGAAGGTAGTGGTTTGTGGGGGGGGTGGTATATTTTTCAGTTTTTAGTTAACAAAATAAGAATTTGGTCATTCTAATCACCACTTCTTAAACCAGTCATCTGTTGATGGACACTTGGGATGTTTCCATGTATCAGCTACTGTGAATAGTGCTGCTATGAACATTGGGGTGTGTGTATCTTTTCAAATGAGATTTTTTTATCTTTTCTGCATATATGCCCAAGAGTGGGATTGCTGAATCATATGGTAGCTCTATTTTTAGTTTTTTAAAGAACATCCATCCTGTTTTCCCTAGCTGGTTGCACCAATTTACACACTAAAGGGAAATTATTATTTTTTTAATTGAAATATAGTTGATTTACAATGTTGTGTTTATTTCTGATGTAGAGAATAGTGATTCAGTTATATATATGTGTGTGTTGATCCCCTCACCCTGTTTTGTTAATCCAAAACAGGTCAATCCCCTTTTATTTCAAGTATTAATTTCTTTCCATAAATCGTTCCCTTAGGAAGATGATTTTGCTTTTGTGAAAATATAATTTATTTCAGGCAATCTTTTGGAACTCGGACTGACTGTTGTTTATATATTATCAAAATTGTTTTCAATAAGTGGAAAGGATCAAGGTTTCCTATACTGAGGGGAACAGAAGAATCATCTTCTTACTCTATATTACGACACTGAGAAAAAAGTTTTCTCTGTAGTCATGGGATCAACACTTCTGTCCTGTGTTGGGAGCACTCCCAGTATTTAAACACCCAGAACAGGTATATTCACCTTGAAATAATGAGGCCCCTGGAGAAAGATGAATTCCAAATCTCCTATCAGCACATTCAAGTCAGCTGGCAGTGAGTATAACAGGCTTTTCTAGATACCTGGAAGTGC